TGACTCAGAACCTGGCCGGTGCACCCTGCCCTCAGGCCCAGCACTTCCAGCAGCTGGTCGGTGCCCAGCAAGCCCCTGGTGGAGTCTCCCTAGGCCCACAGCAGGTAGGGTCAGGACTTATCCCAGCCTCGTGCGGTGGGCACAAAACCTCATCATGCTGGTAACACTTCCACAGCCACCCTACTGATGAGAGTCCCTCTGCTCAGGCCCAAGGTAACTGGCCCGACCCACAATGTCCCCACTCTGGCCCCCTGGGGGACTGTCAACAGAGCCCCTTCCCCAGATGTGGAAAGTGGAAATCAGCAACATTTGGGGTCCCTCCTGTTACTGCTGCCCTTGGGAAGCCAGACAGATGAGTTCAGATCTGTGCTTCATTGCTAACTCACTTGTGCTCAGAGCCTCAGTTTCCCCTTCTAAGTGGGGAGAGTGACACTACTTGTCTGCCTTGAAGTGCCTCCCCCTGCCACTCCTGCAGTCCTTGGGGTCCTTCCTTGGAGCCTCAGGCCCACAGTGCATGTGAGCTGTGTCCCACCAGCAAAACACTACCTTTGTTCAGAGCGCATCCTCCCCAGGAGACCGGGAGTTCTGGGAGGCAGGGGCCACACATGCCCAGGCTCCCCAGCACAGGTGCCAGAAAGAGCCAGCGAGTGACCCGACTTGCTGGATCCTGTGAGGCCTGGGGGGATGGTGGTGAAGAGCCCGTCCCAGTGGCTGCTCACAGCTCTGCTGCTCTGCCTCCCTGTGTGCACCGGGCACAGACAGGCTGCTCTCTTGTCCCTAGAGGCTCTGGGCGGTGTGCCTTGTGCAGTGCTGCCTGCCTGCCCCTTGCGCCCCACCCTCTCTGTGCCTTTGGTGCTGTCAGCTCCCCTCTCCCACTCTGCCCAGGGTTCTCCCTGTGCCACTTCAGGGCAGTGCACCCCATGGGCCGGTGCATCACTGGCCTTGTGACTCCAAAGCAACCTCCACTGCTCCGCCCGCCACAGACCTCCCCATGCCCACCACGCTCCAGCCACAACCCAGCCTGACCCCTGTGTCCTAGGTCACTTTCATTTCCAGGGAGGTCATTAGGGTGGCAAATTGGCACTGCGGGGTGACTCGGGCCAGGAAACAGAGGCAGGAAGCCAGTGGTGCCACTCACTCGAAGAACCCTGGGCGTCATCCAGCCCTGGGTGAGGACTCGGCGAGTCCTCTAAGAGTGGAGGACAGTGATCGGCCCCCTGGGAGCAGGCAGAGCACAGGGACAGTAAATGACACAGGGAGGCGAAAGTGCTCTCCGGGGTTGAGGCCAGGGGAGGGGACCTCCAGGGAGGACGAGCAGCTGGGGCAGAGCAACCCTGACTTGCAGCAGAATCAGGGTGTCCGTCACAACAAGATTAACACCAAGTGGTGGCGCCCCAGGCTAGGGACTGAGGACGGTGGGAAGACAGGAGAGCAGGTGGGTGCTGGGGTCCGGCAGCCTGGGTATGGCCTCTCCCCTAGGTCAGCAGCTTGAGGGACCTGGGTGAGTGACCTTGTTCTCCACAGACCTCAGTTTCCTCAACCATGCAGTGGGACAGCCCTGACAAGCTCAGTAGGCCTGGCATAGAGGGGGATCAGATCTAGGGTGCCAGCTCTTGTGCTGGAACTGAGCCCCGAGTGGCCAGATTTCTGGGCACCATGCCCATCTCTGTCCCACCATTCCCACCTCACTCTCAGCTTCCCCTTTCCAGGGACCAGCACTGCTCTTGGGGTGCTGAGCATGGGCCTGGAACACGGTAATGCTCAATGAATGCTCAGGGACACAGTGAATGAGTGCAGCGTCCTCAGTCCCACTCTCCAGGCCCCCGCTGGGCACGTGGCCTCGGATACACTGGCACACACGCATAGACACCCCACACCTGGTGCCCCATCCCTGCCCCAAGCCTCTGGGCCTCCATTGAGCGACCTGGAGGTGTG